CTGCCTCGTTGAAAAGACTCACCCCTGCCTCTCTTTTTAGGGTGTGCAGAAGAGTCAGTAAAACTAGAAGGCCTCCTGAATTGATCTCGTCTCGGTCTTTATCTCTCATACATTCTATACCCACTCGTTCTATCTCCTCAGTGGTCTTGGCTATCTCAACCAAGGCATCAAATTTCCTCTATCGATGGGTAGCAACTCGACTCATAATCTCATACATGAGTCCATTCTCGAATCTCAAGCACTGATCCAACTCAGTGTCAACCAGTTCAGTAGCATATCGACTCAATCTGGTAAATTCAATCTCATAATCCATAACATATATATCACCCTGCTCCAAATTTTGAAACTCATAATGCCACTCCTTCATGTATCTCTCTCCAATGTGGCAACTATGAAAACGTGCCTTGAAAAGATCCCAAGTCAACTGATTCCCCCAAATACTACCAGAAATCGATTGCCACCATCTAAAACTCTATTTCTTCAGCATAACTAGGGCTCCTTTAACTTCTACTTAGGCCTCAGATCCATCTCATCCATAATCCTCTCTGTATTCCTCCAACCAATACTCAGTGTAATTCGGAGGTCTACCAGTAATGCCCTCGAACAGAACTACTCTAATAGCTACCAAAGACATCAAAATCCCTACCACAGACATACTAACAGGGACTCTAGCAGCTCTCTCGAACATACGAAAGATATATATATTAATGGCATCCTCATCCAAATTAGTTTCCTCATCCTCACTGAAGGGAGGGTCTCTCGCAGGTGTAACCGGATAATCACGAGAAATAAATTATCTACATGCGGAACAAAAGGATCTTGAGGTGACATCAAATCATCTATCGTAATAGAAGATCAAGTTGCTCACCCTCGACCATGGCCATGGCCTGGCCTACGACCTCTAGTAGCATTCATCGAATAAATCTACAAGGCTCTACAGAAAGAATTTAAAGTTAGACTAGCATAATGAATCTTGATTATATTTAAAACTCGTAAAATAAGGTGACATGGTTTTTGAAAATATCTAAAATATATTGAAAATCCAGATTTTAGGACTCATCCACAGTCCTAGTGTTTAAAATCGAAGTCTCTGATACCACCAAGTGTAACCCCCTAGACCCAGCCTGGACGTTATGACCAAATCTAGGCGGTTACATATCGTATTCAAAAATTCTTTTCATACTTAAAACAACGTTAAATTATATATAATAGTATAATATGAAATTAGCCATAAGAAATATTCATACGATATATATATATATACACTATATAATAGTATAATATGGAATTAGCCATAAGAAAGATTCATACGATAAACATATATGTATATATACATACATATATCAAAAAATCGTATAAAATATATACATAAAAAAATACCGGTTATACAGATATACAAGGACAATAGAAAAAACATGTGTTACCAAAATATAACTAAAGACATATAGAGATATACAGTGGTACAAGAATAGGAGCAGTCGGTCCTCTTGATGCTAAGTCTGCTAGTCTACGGTCTGCTATTAACTGAAAAGGTTAAAATTTACATAATGAGCTAAATAGCCCATTGTGCTCCTTACGGTGTATAAAAACATACAGATAAAATACTTTAGTAAAAAACAGTTCATCAAACATGCTTTAAAAATATGAACACTAACCTCATCCGAACACCAGAATGTGTACTTTCCCAAAACCATACACCCACTTGTACACCCAGTAAGGGCCTTATGCATATAACATAAGGACTTGCTGTAAGGACTTACCCTGTTCACAAAGTAGAAGAGCATGCAATAAGGTCTTACAAGTCATAAACTAGGCCTGATATACTTCATCCAATAACACCCCCAATAACAGCAATAATCATGTATGTATTTGAGTGAAAATAGTAGTTTAATCCATTAAAACATGAAAATATTACATACTCAGAAATCAGATACAAAAATACAGTAACCAGAGATCATATCAGAAATATACAGTAAATCAGATATCAGATAAACAATTTTCAGAAAATCAGTTATCGTGTCGTAAATATTCAGTATCATTAGAAATATAAAACAATTAAGATAAATAGTTTAAAACATTAATGTAACACCATCAGAAAACACACTTGTACCGATCTGAGTAGTCTGATAAGGAAGCCTACTACCGAGTCTGCCGATCACGATCAACGAAAGAGCTAGATCCTACGAATCAAAAAATATATATCAGAATCCTAATATGAATAATAATAACCTCTATTTAAATAATTTACAGAAACCTACGAGTAACTCTCAAAGAACGCAGATAGAGCAGATCTGACAGACGGGAAGCACCAGATCTAATTGACCCTCGATTGGGGGAAACAATAAAGCAAAAATGTTAAAAATACTAAGCATTTTTGGATTAACGGGCTCGATTCAGGGCTTTAGGGTCAGAATTTGGCAAAACATATCGTAAAATAAGACTTAAAAAGTCGAAAAATGTTGAGATAGAGGTTTTTGGAAAAAGTCAACGGCGTTCAACTATCAACGGTTAGCGGTCAATGGATGACTGGTTCGATTCGAGTTGGACCGAGTCGGGTCGGATCATGTTAGATAAACGGGTCAGATCGGGTAGGCGGGTCGGATCGGGCAGCTTCAGAAGCTTACCTGGCAGTGGACGTTCCCCACGCGTAGCAGCATCACGTGAGGCCGTGTGCAGGGCCTTCGGGGGTCGAAAAATTTCTTATATTCATTTTAAGGGTTTTGAGACACTTATCAAGCTCGGTTCACAGTGGTGAACGACGGATAGCTTGATTTCGGAAAATCAGAAACTTGATCTTCCTCACCCCTCACATGTTGGTGGCAACGGAGACAAGATGAACATCGATAGATTCGCGACGACGCAATGAACACGATGGCGTGGGAGGTGTTGAAAATGGAACAATGGTCGGTGATAAAACGTCGATTAAATATTTCATTCTAAAAGAGGAAAGGTTGAAGAGAGAGAGAAGAGAAGGGTTTAAACTTTCCAGAAATGGAAAGTTTTTATTTTTATTTTTGAGGCTTTTAAACCCACATTAAAAACAATATAATTACATTATAGGTCATCCAATTTTAGTTGGTTTATTAATTTGGATCTAAATTTAATCAAAATTTTACTATGGTACCCTAATTTAATTAAAATTTCAATTTAGTCCTCATGATAAATTTTAAGAAAATTTTAGGCCATAATTTGGGGTGTGATATTTTAACTGCCACATCAGCTTCTCTGTTAAATATTAACGACAAGTGACTTAATTAAATAATTTAAATAGTTATGTGACTTGATTGACAACATTTCAAAAATGATGGTCAAAATGAGAAGGGCAATAGTTAGTTGGTTACTGGTATAGTTTACCCTTTATTTTAAATAAGGGTAAACTATACGAGTGGCCACTAAACTATAGCCCCTTTTCATTTTGACCATTAACGTTTCGATCAATCAGCCACCCAACTATTTAAATGATTTAATCAAGCCACTGGCCATTAATTTTTTTAACAGAGATGGTGACGTGACATTTAATAAAATTGGCATAATTATACATTTGGTCTTTAATATTTAAAGATTCTATCAATTTAGTCACTATTTTAATTTAATTAAATAAATTTAACCCTTCAATCCAGAGGTACCATATGTCACTACCTGTGTAAAGGGAAAATATTTCAAAATAGAAAGTGAACTCAAGGAGATTTGAACCAATAACTACTTGGCTAATTAGGAATGCATTTGCCACTAGACTAGGCCATGCAATTGGTTTTTAATTGCACCATATTGTATATGTTGTGTTTGCTCATCAGTGTTGATCTCTCAATTACCTAACTTAACCTAATTCAGGAAACAAATCAATAGATCCAAGTTTCACATGCGTTGATCTCTCAATCACCTAACTTAACCTAACTCAGGAAACAAATCAAAAGATCCAAGTTTCACATTTATTGTCGGCCAAATACCATGTACTAAAGGTTATATAAATACCCCTTAACACAACTCAAAAAGATTGACATCTTTTACAATTAACACACATCTCTTTATTCTTTCTCATGATAGACTCTCTATACAAAAACACCAATCAATTATTGTTCTTCAATTGGTTGTGACTTTCTACCCAAACTAGAAAGGATCAACCGCTCACGATCGATGAACATCAATAATTTGTGTGTTAAGCGTGGACATACTTTATTATATCTCACCTAAAAAAATCAAAACAACTATCCTCGTCTCTCCCAAAAGTCAAAAGAACTATCCTCACCACGAGCTAGTCCATTGAAATAGGTCAAAGGTGCACACGATGGAGAGAAGAGAAATGCATAAGCGACGTCCCTCTAGGCCTAGTTTTTCCTAAATGCATCCCCTAAACTTCCTTAATTCATGTCTATTGCAGCCACATCCAAAGCAATGACCCAAACATATGGGTGAAATTTAATCAAGATTGAAAATAAATAATAAATCGTGAGGGATAATAATGAACATGATAACATACAAATTTAAATTCATTGGAGCATATAATTTAGAAAAATTAAATATAATAATTAAATTTAGAAAAATATTATAATATTATTACTAAAAGACGGATTTCCGTAGTGCTTTGAGAAGGGAAAAAAAACAAAGGAATTCACGAAAAATCATAGCAGTGATGCTAATAATAATAGCGATGAATGGAAGCAATGAGGAATATATTAATTTTACATATTTGCAGGGACTGGGAGTTAGGTGGTGACTGGTGAGAGAGGGAGCTTGATGAATAAAAAGATGGTGATATAGGCATGAGCTGATAGGCATGTGAAATCAAATCAAGTCTTGGAAGCTTCCTTTGAAGAAAAAACAAAAATAAAGAATCCATTTTCCTCACTAGAATAGAATAATCTACATTTTCTCTTCCTTATCTTCCCACTCTTTCAACCAATGACTCTGTCCATCCGGCTTTATACTAATGGGTTTTCTTTTATAAATAAAGCCGTCTGCTCCTCTAAATGTTCTAGAACCCGAATCGCCACTCTTTATAAACAACCTACCTTCAACAATCCGCAAAAACAGAGAGAGAATCCGTGTCGTGTTTTCTTCTTCTTCTTATTCTGATTTTTACCGGTAAATATGATAACGAAGAGTTATGATCTTGTTTAGTGTTGTTACCTAATGGAAACTGATACGAGCAAACGCTGCGATAACCTTGTTCACTCTCGATTCTTTCTCTCTGGGTTTATTGCTGGGGTTGGGAATTCTTGACCGCTCTTCTTCTCTTTAGTTGTTCTGCTTCTGCCTAAACCATCCGCTTATATTTTGTAGTAATTTTCCTCTTGTAATCATAGTTCTTTGTCAGAATATTGTTTTTCGGGTTTGCGTTATATTTTGAGAGGGGGTTTGGTAAATCGGGAAAGATGGCGCAAAGGTCAGTTCCGGCACCGTTCTTGATGAAAGCGTACCAGCTGGTGGATGATCCGATCACCGACGATGTGATTTCGTGGAATGAAAACGGCACGTCTTTTGTCGTTTGGAAAACTTCTGATTTTGCGAAGGATTTGCTTCCCAATTATTTCAAGCACAACTTTTCCAGCTTCGTCCGTCAGCTCAACACTTACGTAAGTTGTTCATGTTCTGAATTATTCTAAACCTAGATCAGATACGTTATAATTTCATTCATTTAGTTCGACAAAAGGCTTCGTCATCACGTGTTTTCCTATTTTATTATCACTTGATCAAACTGTCCATAGCAATTTTAATATGTTTCAGGAGTAAAGTGTTTCAAGTCAGGAATAATTTTTTTTGTTAGTTTTTAAATATTAATTCAAGGTTTTTTTTATTAATCTCTATAATTAATAGATAATATCTATTCAAAATACTTTTAATCAATTGATAAAACATATCAGATATAATTGTTTGAATTCGAAAGTTTTATGGAGAATAACACTCTCTTTTACTACCAATGTCGCTGAACTATATGTAGGATATTGAATCCAACCATAGCTTCTTTCCTTCTGTTTATAATGTATAATTTTATAGAGTTCATTGAGACTGTGCATACAAGACACGTGACTGCACGCACTTCTCCCGCTCTCTCTTTCTTCCTACAATATTTTAATCCTTTTATACACTATGAATACACAGCTAGGATATTGAATCCAACCATAGCTTCTTTTCTTGTAGTTTACTAGCTCTATATAACGTTAATACTCCTTTTTTTAATAACTTGAGCATCGTAGGCATGGCCAATGTGCGAAGTAGTTGTTTGTTTTTTCTACTAATAATACTTGTTTTATCTCATGAAACACTTATTTTTACAGAGGGAAGGAGCTTGGAACTGAAGAAAAATGTGAGTGTATTGAGTGGAAGACCCGGTGCTGATGTAGCCAACCCAAGCCCTTTGCAGCATGTTTTCAGGTCCTTAGAAGAATATATAGACGCCTTTTGACCTACAACCCCCGGAGCCGGCCATTGATCACCATTAACATATCTGTACCTGTTCTAGGCGTTGTACGTACCAAGTTCTTTGTTTTATGCAGTTTCGTATTCCTTTCATAGTCTTGCATTGTTTCTTGTATCTCTATTTGTAGTCAAATTAATGTTTGCATTTAATTTCGGCTACGTTCTTTTAAGCACACCAAATTGAACTATAAATAAATTCAACCACATTACATAGAAAAGAAATACAAATCAAATCTAGTTGAAAAAAATTAGAGAATTAAGAGGTTAGTCATGAGAAGAGATCATATGATCAAAGTACTTCTCTATGAAACCGGGAGATTCATGGCCATGCAACTTCTTTTATAAATACTAGAGTTCAGTTTTCTTACCTCAATAACAACCTTCCACAAATTACTTATGAAATTAGACTTTTATCTCCATCAATTACGGAAATGACACTCATTTGTGTTACATATGATAAAAACATTTTCAATCAGCAAGTTTAAACTTTTAATTGGTAAAAATAGAAAATATGTTATCTCATCTGTGCTTTTGTTGGATTTGGGAAAAAAAGTGCATTAATTTATTCATGTCTTTGATGGATTCTCACTTGTGCTTTTGTTGCTCTTACAAGATTCTTCTTAGTGCCAAGTTAATAGAGATTCTATGTGAATCTTGGAAATTATAATCATTTTGAATGATTCATTCAAAACTTCATATTCTATAATCTTTAATTTGAAGTTCAATTATAATATTTAGCAATAAAACTGTAAATGTATAGATTTTGTAACTCTTAAAACCAGTTTAGTAATTTTTTAATTTTTAATGGTAGGAAAACATTTTTTCGGTGCTAATTTGAAGTCACTAAATTAAATTAGTGTTTTAATTTCAATGTTTAATGTGGAAGGGAATTAATGTAATATGGATAAGGACTAAATTTTGAATTTAGAAAAGTTGGATTTAGAAGACTATTTTGAATTGAAAATTAAACTTCATTTGTGCATGGCGATTTTATCATTTTTGGTGTGGATGGTGAATCACCAAGCTGTGGCACCATATTATGCTTTAAGCTTATTTCAGCTAAACGATATTGATAATTGTGGGGATTTCGGGAGGGGGGGGGGTGAATCACGGCTAAGCAAGGAAAGAGAAGAGAAATCTACCTTCTTCAACCTTAGGAGAGAGAACCATTGACGTATAGCTTCATCTCCAATGCAAGGTTCATCGTTTCAATTTTTAAATTCAATCACATATTTGAGTAGACTATGATCCAACCTTCTTTGGTATAAATTAATTTAAGTTTCAAATAAATTTCTTTTAAACTCTTAACCCCAAATCGATATATTCACCTATTTAGGGTTATCCTAACCCTAAATCGTTTTTACCATTTGAAAAGCCATGGAAATTCTTCATCAATTGGCGTTTATGGATTAACTGTGATTATATCCAGGAATCCTTTGAATATTTTTTATTAGAACGTCTTCGGGACAAGTTTCTAATGGTGAATTCGGTGATTTGGGATATTCGATATTAGGCGAGTGTAGTTATTTTCAAGTCTGATGTTAAAACTCTTACTTTTATTTAATGTTCTGATGTTATTTTGATATCTCGGATTAATTATGTGTTTTAGCTCAATCAGAAAAATGTTAATGAAAATTACATGAATGGTAAGAATATGATAAGTTTAATAAGACATAGTGATTAAAATGAATAGCTTATGTTATGAAGAGATATCTTAACTTATGACATTATGTAATTGGTATGATTAGGATTAAAACTATGAAATTATGATATAAGTACGATAAGCATTTGCTAATAAAGCACATATGATGACTATGAATATGATATGAGTATATTAAAGATTTATAAATGCCAAGTACATGAAAGAATGTCTGATGTTCAATCTGGACTATAAATGGAGCTTAAGGCTCAATCATGTAATGTTTTCATTATATGAGATCATATTATAATTTTATTATGTTTGATATGTAAAGTGATTTGGCAAGTAAACTTAAAATTGATATTTAATTATCCTCGGACATTAGTTAAGTGTTAGCGTATTCATGAAATTAAGAATTTAAAGGAAGGCCAAATTCCCAACGAGTTGAACGTACCAGCAGACTCGATATTCCAGATATCAAAGGTCAAGGAGTATGTCAAGCAAGGTGAATTGTTCATCGGAGAAAAACTGTTTTACGGTGATCATTTTCAATATTCCAGATCTCCTCCATCATCAAGGTTTTTGGCTTATATTCGATGTGTTTGGCGAGGTGGTCGATTCCTTCATCCCTAACAAAAGAAGGGAGGAAGTAGGTTCGGTTTCGTTCGTTTTAGCAGATTGGAGGATGCGAGGAAGGCTATCAAACGTGCTGATAGAATTAGGATTCAAGGTAATGAAGTTAGAGTTTTTATGGTGAGATTTAAACCTCGTGATTCTTTCTGGAGAAAGAAGGTCTCGGGTCCAAATCCAATTGTGGCAAAGAGTAGAGTGGAGGTTGATAGTCGTTCTGAAGCTCCCATTGTTGGTTTTGTTGATCAGGATAAGCTACTAACTCTTAGAGACAGTCTCGTAGGTTGGTGTAGAAATTTTATGAAAATGAAAGAGTTGGATGCTTTTATGCACAAAGGTATTATAGGTCCGAAAATTATGAGACTTATTGGTTTAGCTATTCTTATCATTTTTGAAGATGAAGAGAGTAGAGACTTTACCCTAAATCATCAGATTGGAGCGTTGTTGTCCTGTTTTGACAAAGTAGAAGTATGGTCGGAGAATATCCAGTGCAGAAGTCGACGGGCTTGGTTATCTTGCAAAGGGATTCCACCATTTGCGTGGAGTCATTCCACGTTCAGAAACATCGCAGGTAAATGGGGAGATCTTATCTCCATTGAGGAAGGGACTTTAAATCCCGGCTCGTTTGATAGGGCGTTGTTTCATATTATTACGAACTGCCAAACTCGAGTGGAAGATTCTTTTGATTTGAAAGTCGGGGAAAGGATTTTTCAAGTTTATGTTTCTGAATTCGAACCTTGTTTCAACCCTGAGTCCATTTGGGGAGATTCGTCTTTGATGGAGTTGTTAGTAAAGTCTCCTGAGAAGGAGGTTGGTGATGGATTGATTTCTCACTGTTTTGTTGAATCTGCTCAAAAGGAGGAAGGACAGGAAGAAGGCATGCTGTCCCCGATGTTTCGAATGCTGAAGGTGGTTCGTTGTTTCCAGTTGCGGTGGGAGCTTGTGTAGACTCATGTCTCGATGATTTTCGTGCTCATACATTTGTGCCCCCCAGACTGCGTAATGGGAACGATGTGCGTGATTTCATTTGTCAGTTGAGTGGATCCTTCAATGCTTTCCCGATGTTTCGAATGCTGAAGGTGGTTCGTTGTTTCCAGTTGCGGTGGGAGCTTGTGTAGACTCATGTCTCGATGATTTTCGTGCTCATACATTTGTGCCCCCCAGACTGCGTAATGGGAACGATGTGCGTGATTTCATTGTCAGTTGAGTGGATCCTTCAATGCTTTGGAGAATGGTAGCGGGACAATCATGGGAGCGAATTCGGGTTTATGCGCTGCTTTTCAAGGCAATTTGATTGATGTGTCCAAATTAGTGCGTTATGGGGAGCACATGGATGATGAGGTGGAGAGGTGTGGTGTCTTAGAAGGAAGCACGCATGGTTTAGTAAGCATGGGCAGGTTTGAATTTGATTCCCAGACAAAACATTTTGGGGAACCAGCGCAAGGTTTGTTGTGCCAGTTGAATGGTTCAAATTATATTATGGAGGCCGTTAGTGGGGCTCAGGTGGGCGCTGTGGGGAATGTGTGCGCAGCATTGGAAGGGTTGGAGCATGTTGAGCAGCTTGAGTCTGCTGTTGGGCCATCGAACAAGGCCTTAGTTGATAGCAATGGGCGGTTAGGCTCTAAAGGAAAGTTATCCCCACGGCAGTCAAAGGTTTTGTGTCTAAAGCCTTCGGAGAGTCCGATTAATAAGATGATGTCCAAATCAAACAGTAGGAAGCAGGCGAAATTTGGCTCCTTATTAGATATTCAGGAGAAGGCTCTGTCGAAAGCTGAGAAAAATAAAAGAGATCGTGCATTGAAGAGATTTAAATTGCTGAAAGCTGATCTTAATTTCACAGAATTATCCGGTACTTCTCTTTCAGATTCGGTTTTGAAGAAAAGGTGGGACGTTTATGTTAACAAGGAGGAATCTCTGCCATTAAGTAAGAATTTAGGTGGTTAGTTAGCTGACGTTCTTCAATTTTTAGAATTTTTTGGAGGTTAGTGGTGTGACTGTCGGGGATTGCTTTTGGTCTATGATATACGATGAGTATTTGGATCTTTGCTGCTTTAAGGATGTTTTTGAAACCTGTCTTTGCGTATTGAATTTTCAGCGTGGCAATGTTCTATCTTGTTCTCTGAGTTTTGCGGACGTTCAATTAGCTGAGATGATTCTGTTATTTTCATCTTTTTATTGAATCTGGTTTCCAGCAGTCTCGGTTGCTCACCAAGCTGGTTCGTTGCTTGTGGATTTCCTTTCCAGTAATCCTGGCCGTTCCTTATTGTCTCAGGATCCTTGCTGTTCGTTGGTCTCCATTCTTCAAGTTTCATTGCCATATTTTTCAAGGCTCCGGCACCTTTTTGTTGTTCTCGCTTTCATGATAGTGCATCTCTGTTTGAGTCAGTGGTGTTGATCATTGCCTTATCCCAGAAAGGCTATTGTTTAAGTGGTTTTTAGTTCCATGGCTGTTGCTTGCTGCTGTTTTGGTTTTGTCTGAAGTGCGTTATTTTATTTGGTATCCCTTCATGATGTTCGTTTGCACCTTGTTTAGCCTGGTATGGGTTGTCTTTATGGTCTGAACATGGTATCTTGTTGTATTGTACAGAGGCTTTGGCAGTTTGCCTTTTCCACCCCAAGGTTATACTCTTTTTCCTTCACATAAGTTTAGGGAGGTTTTTTAGTGAGGTCTTTGGGGTGGTGTACTTTCGTATAATTTCTTAATACAAAGTACCCTTTTACAAAAAAAAAAAATGTGTGATATGTTATAGAATCCATTTGAGTTCATGTTTGGTTATGTATGACTTCAGTAATTTTACTAATATTAGCAGGATGTATGTGGTTGAACTCCAATGATGATGGCAGGATGATCATTTTTGTTGTGTTTTGATGATGTTGAGATTTGTGTATACATAGATACTATATTAGTATTTCATAGGTTAAATTATAATATGAATTTATGATTAAATTGCTTCCGGGATAAGAATGAGTTACTATATGTATATGTATGTTCATTTTAAAGATTGAGATTGTTAATATGTTATAAGTTATGAATGGATATTAAATGTTAGTTGCCACCATAGTGATCATACTAATTATAATGATTATAATGTTTTGAGACTATTTCATTTAAGTTATACAAATTTACTCTATTTGTTTAATGTTTTTGCATATAATTAGAATTTAATGATTATTCGAGATGGTAATTTAGCTGTTGCAAGTTACTATGAACTAAATAAGGTAAATGTCTTTTTCTAAACTCCTGTAACATTTGATATGTTGAGAATAAATGGTCAAGAAATTGAAGTTTGAACCTCATTTGGCTCATGATGTATCGAGGTATTTCCTCAAGTAAATTCATTAAATTAATGATGATGCTAATGACTTTACTCAAGTAAATTAATTAAAATCATAGGATATGCATGATATATGATTAGGATTCTAACAGTTGTATTCTAGGTGCATGCTGATGCTTTGTTCGTTACACTTCAACGATGTTTCTTCAACAAAACTCTTTCACTTCATCAATAATGATAAATAAATATATGGATCTATTATATCATATTTTAATAGTCTAGAGTGAAATAATAAATCAGAATCAATAAATATCCTAACGTTTAGGTGTGAGTAAAACTCGACTCTACTTGAAAAATTGATTTTTTCGATTCGAATCAACTCGAATTGACTTCGAGTTATTTTTTCATAAACTCGACTTGATTCGAAAAAAATTCAAGTTCAAATCAAGTGGTAAAATACAACTCGAATAATCAAAATTTTTAATAATTGGTAAATTGAATTTCAATTTTAAGTCAAGTCCCTCGACTTTGTATGGTACATGTAATCACATGTGAAAAAAATACAAATACATATATATATATATATATATATATATATATATATATATATATATATATGTATATGTATATGTATATGTATATGTATTGGATATGGTTATGAAATACCATTAAAATTAGAATCAAATAATGTAATAATTAAATTTAAAGTCAACTCGAATAACTCAATTTTTTTTACTCGAATCGATTCAACTTAATCGAACGCTCACCCCTACTAGGCTTGGTTCCTAATTTTTTCTTCTCTCGTTAGTTTTTTTTTTCATTTTTCGTTAGCGGTCGCACTAGTTTTGGTGTTGATTGTCATCGTTGATATTTTTTTATCTCTTATTATTATTATTTTTCTTTGTTTCTAATTACTCTTTCTTTGGGATATAATTTTCTCTATCTTTTCGCACATTTTTTATTTTTCGATCATTTGTCGTTTATTTTTTTCATGGTTAGATTTAACGTCACCACGCTGATCATTTTGGCATTCGTTTGTTATCCTACTAATGTTCCCTGATTTGGACCATCGAATTGGATTTAGATATTTAACTTGTGATCATAGATAGTTATCTCTCGATGCTTGGCTCTGATTTGCGTTTTGTCGGCCGTATTTCACTAGTTTAATCCCATGTTATGGTTCGTTTGCTGTAGCAATCAGATTTGTGCGCATCTGCCTTTTGTTTGAGTTTTTTTGGATAGGGCTTTCACATTTTCCTTGTATGGTCCTAATATGATATTGAGTGGGTAATTTATTAATAATTTTAAGATAATATCTTAATTGTGTGTATAGTTTACGATTTTTATTTTAAAATTTTATTATAATTTTGGATATTTTTATTTATTAATAAAATTAATTGCTTCTATTTAAAAAAAACAAAACATGGAATTTATAATATGAAAAAAAACAAGACATAGAAAATATACATTTCATGCTCTAAAATAAAGAAATTGAATTTCAGTTACTTGCACTTTTCTATTTAATTTGCTAATAGTTAGGTATTTTGGTTTTCCCTTCTTTTTTTTTTCTTGTTTTTCAAAATTCTTAAGTTTGTCCTTATAATTTTGAGTTACAAAGTCATTAATTGTTCAATCAGGATGTTTTCGAGTTATTAAGATATTTGTTTAATCACTGTTAAACGTGCACTATAAAGTTTGAATATCTATTATTTAAAATTTTTGATCGTGGATTTAGATAATGAATTCAATTTTTTTTATCAATACAAGTATTTTTGTACTATATGGGTTTGTTAAATTTGAGTTTTTAGTGGCGAGTTTTACTTTTTGGTGGTGAAATCATATGATATCTATAAATTTTATGTGAAAGTGGTTATTTTGGGTCAAGTTTTAATTGGGAAAGAAAATTATAGTAATGTTAGACTCAAATAATTTTTCTAAAATGGAATTGATAACCGTTTTTTCTCTCTCTCGATAGCAGGACTACCATTTTTGGAGTTCTTCGATTTTTGTTAGGGTTGACTCAATTTGGGGGATTTTATGTGGTTAGGGTTCATGCGGGCTAATTTAGCTGAGCAAGGGCTCATAGCCATCGATTGGAAGAGTCTGTTTGCTGGGACGAAGGAACAATCTCTGGAATATTTTCCTCCTGTGAACTCTGAGGGCTTGGTGACTGTAATTCCTCCACAAGATGTGTTTGAGGAGGGGATTTCTAAACAACGTTACTCATTGGTGGGGCAGTTCATTGGATCAACTCCCAATTTTGGATCCATGCAAAAACTTGTCGAACTATTGTGGGGGAAATCTTCGATGATGAAGGTAAGCCTAACTAGTTCAAACTTGTGAATGAGACTACTATAGATTGGGTCCTCGAAAATGGAATTGGAATATTCAACATAAACCAATTGTTTTAAGGAAGTAGGAACCTAATTTGAAGCAATTAGATTTCGTCTGGGCTAGGATGCCCCGTGTGGTTGTAGTTGTTCAATGTCCCTTTGTAGTTTTATTCCAAGAAGGGGCTTACTTATATCTTTAGTACCCTAGGACCACAATAGTATATGAACTCCATTACTACTTCCAAGGAGTAATTGGAGTTCACTAAGGTGTGTGTTGAAGTTTAGGAAGGGGCTTGGTTGACTTGGTCAATTGTTGTGCAGATGTGTGATAGCACTACTGGTATTGTTAAGGTGGTTGTTCCATGGCTTCCTTCTTGTTGATCCAATTGTAAAACGTTTGGCCACTCTGATAAAGTATGCTATGAAGGGATAGAGGACTGAAAGAGTGAAGGGTGAGAAAGGGCAAGGCTCCTCTTGAGGTTCTTAGGGTTATGAGGGAGAAAGGTGAGGGTTTGAAAAAGCCAAGACAGACTTCTTTAGGCATTGCTAATATTTTGCAAGAGTTGATGGCTAAGAAAAAGGATCAAGTTGAGAAGTGCATGAAGGGAGGTGATGTTGGTTATACAACAAATATTTCTTCTTCTCATTCTTTATGATTGTTTTCTAGAATGTTAGGGGGTTTAATCATCCCAGGAAACAGTCCAATGTGATAAGTAGGGTAGAGAGGCGCCATGTTGAAGTTTTATGCTTGTGTGAAACTAGGGTTAGAGAGCATAAAGCATCTGATAATGTTGTTAGATACACCGATGACTGGAATTATTGCTATAATTATTCTCATATGGGAAAATGGTAGGATTTGGGTCTTCAGGAAGAAATGTTTGCATTTTTCTGTGTTGCACATTTCTAATAAAGGCCTTCTTGAGGGTAAGTCTGTTATCATTACTACAGTCTATGGCAGTAATGATTGAAGGGTCTTTGGCATCATTTGCATGAGATTGAAGGCTTATGGGATGTGATTTTAATGTTATTGGCAGTATTGATAAGAGTTCAGGTTATGGGAAAGCTAACAGTCAGATTACTCCTAAGATGAAGGATATGTAAAATTGTTTAGGGTTTAGGGTTAGAGGATCACCCTTATTTTGGGCCCCCTTTTACTTGATCAAATAAAAAGGAGGATGGTTTTTTTGATAGGAAACTTGATAGTGTCTTGGCTAATTTTAATTGGTGTGAGGTATTTGCTGAGTCACATGTTGAGTTTCAGGCTCCTTGAGTTTCTGATCATTGCTAGGATGTTGTTTCATATGTTCAGGAGAGTCTTACTTCTACGCCAAAGCCTTTGAGTTTTTTTTAACTTTTAGACCTTACATCATGAGTTTAGGGAGAGGATTAAGAGCTCTTGCGATGAATCCTTGCAGGGCGATCCCATGCAAGTTCTATTTGGTAAGTTGAAAAGATTGAAGCCTATTTTGAAGGCTTTAAATAAAGATTACTACTCCGATATTTCTCAGAAGGTTGCTCCCAAAAGGGAGCAGTTGGAGAAGTAACAGCTCCTAAATCTGTTAGATCCTAGTTCTGGTGGTTTGGAGGGTGAGAAAATGTTGGTGCTAGAGCTTGCTCATTTTGAGAAGGTTGAGGGTGTGTTTTATCAACAAAAGGCTAAGGTGTGCTAGCTTCAAGAGGGGGACCATTGCACTAGGTTCTTCTACTCTCAGGTTGTTGTTAAGAAGAAAAGGAATACTATAAGGGTGTTGGAGGATGAGGAGGAAAATAGATTGAATTCTTTTGATGCTATGGCTTATGAGATGGTAAGATTCTTTACCGAGAAGATTGCGACTGTTGATGATATGGTTAAGGGTTGTGACGTTCTTGAGGGATCTATTTAGTTATTCATTGTTCTTTAGTTCCTAAGTTGCCTAATCCTAGTATAGCTAAGGACTATAGGCCTATTTCTTGTTGTTCTATGGTGTATAAGGCCATTACTAAAATTCTAGTTGCTAGACTTTCTGTTTTTTTTTCTTGGAATGGTTTCTATGAAACAGTCTACTTCTTTTAAGGTCAGGAGTATTGTAGACAATACTCTTCTTGCACATGAGATTGTTAGGGAGTATGGGAGGAGGACTATCTCCTCTAGATGTGCCTAATATGAAAAAGGCATTTGACTCCTTAAGTTGTTATATTATTCTTGGTGTGTTGGATGGTTTAGGGATGTCTTATCATGTTAGAAAATAGATTGAGGTGTGTGTTATTGAGTCCAGGTTCTCTATTTCTTTTAATGGGACATTGGTTGGTTATTTTCAGGGCAGGAGGGTATCAGGAAGGGAGACCCTTTGTCCCTATATTTGTTTGTCTTATCCATGAATGTGTTGTCTAGGTTACTAGATGAAGTTGCTGTTAGATGAATTTTTCATTTTCATCCTAATTACAGGAAGATAGGGCTTACTCATTTGTATTTTGTAGGTGATTTGTTTTTTATTTTTTTGTAAAGGGGTCTTGGAGTCGATCATGGGAGTTAAGTGTGTTCTGTAAAAATTTTATGAACTTTCGGGTTTAAGACTTAATGCTGTTAAGTCTGAAGTTTTCCATTCTGGTATGACTGAGAATCAACTAGCTCAGGTCGATGAGGCTACTGAATTTAAGTTGGGAACCTTGCATGTTAGGTACTTGGGGATTCCTTTGGTCCATAGAAAGCTGACTGAGAGGAAATGTGTTTGCTTGGTGGAGAAGATCAAGGCTAAAATTGGGCAGTGGTATGGTAGGCAACTTAGTTTTGTTGGAAGATTGCAGCTGACTGGTGTAGTTCTTCACAACATTGCAAATTACTGGTACAAGTACTTAATTTTACCCTTAGTTATTAAGAGAGTGGAGCATCTTTGTGCTATTTTTTTGGAAATGTGATGATGTTTTTGCAAAATGGAATAAGGTCAAATGGAATTGTATTTGTCATCCTAAATCTGGGGGGATAAGGGATTAAGGACTTGAGAAGTTGGAACAATGCTTGTGTGTTCATGTTGATGAAGAATATCCTTGCCAATGAAGGATCCTTATAGGTGGCTTGGGTTCAAATCTATGTCTTTAAGGGGTTGAGTTCTGGCAAGTTGTCTACAAAACCTCTATTTAGTTGGGTTCTAAGAAGGATTATGAAGTTATGGGAGCAAGTTAGGCCTCTGTTTGTTGGCAGACTTGGTTGGGAGAAGTTGACAACAAGGTGATTGTGGGGTAAGACAAGGAATAAAAAGGCCAAGGTAGAGTGGAAAAGGTTGGTCTGGTTCTCCATGAATGTTCCTAAGCATTCCACCATTTTCTGGATGACAGAGCTTAATAGATTGTCCACTGCTAATCGATTGTTAAAATGGGGATAGATGTAGAGGTTAGTTGCAGAAACTGTGATGGTTTGGTATAGGATACTAAAGATCATATTTTCTTTGAATATGTTTTCTATAGGAATGTTTGAAAGGCTATTTTGGTTTGTGTAGTATTGGTAAGGCTATGGGAAGCTGGGGTGAGGAGGTTGGTTGGGCGGTGACTCGATTTAAGGGAAAATCGGTGCTGGTGTACATTTTGAGGTTGACTTGAAGTGCTCATATCTATTGTATATAGGAAGAAAGAAACTATATGCAATTTAGGGGTATTAGGAGAAGAGTGAATAAGATTGTAGATATTATAAAGGAAGTTGTTTGAATAAAAGTGTATAGGAAAACTATTCAATGTGATGCTACGAATCATAGTCTTTTTTTAGTCTAGGGAATTTATTTTTTATAGCTTGGGGATGTGCAAAGTGTATTGGTTCTGTTTGTTTTTAACAAGATTTTTTTGTCTACTTCTTGGATAATAAAATAATTTAACTTATCCCAAAATAATAATTTTCTAAGAATTACTTTTCAAGAATGAATAATCCAATTTTATGTTATATAAGTTGTTGAGATGAAAATCAGAAATTAGAAATAATATATGTATAATTTGAAGGAGAAAAGTAAAGATTTTCATGGGTTATAATGAACAAGAAAGTAATTTTGTTAAAACATTAGACTTTTGTATTTGGGTAAATTACACGTTTTCTCACTCAACTTTACTCTCTCTCCTATTTTGCTCACCCAACTTTTAATTTTTCTATTTTGCTTACTGAACTTTGCAGATTGAATTATTTTTTTCACTCAACCGTTAATCTTATAGCGCCACTATGAAATGGAATATTTTAAAGTTTACGACTAATGAAATTCATCTGTTCACATTAACCTCATTGCATTAGTGAATTCTTTCATGTAAGATGCTCTTGCAGCCTTCCATAATACATTTTTCAATGCCTTTCCTTGGTTGATCTTTTTGGACTTGAAGTTGGAATAGAGATGCCTCACACAAGTTCTGTGCTCAGAATGAGGAAATATTTCTGCAATTTCCTCCACTAGACCCCACGAGCATCAATTAATTACTCATTAGTAATTGACATAACATAAATTTAAAATTAAATATAAATCAAGTTTGGCATTATTTAAGTTACCTTCTATTTTTCTGACATGAATGTATAGTGATCAATAAGTTGTAAAAATCAAGATCGAGGGGAATGGTTTTCACTCTCAACTACAGCATAAGCCAAGTGATATATGCAATCATTTGCATCAACCCCAACTTTTCATTGCATAACCTAGATAATGACCCTTAAAAAAATAATCATCAAGGCTAATGATTGGTCTGCATCCTGCTTTAATTCCATCCTTACATGCTTGAAGACATATATATACATTATAACAAAAACCTTATTATCTAGATGGTAGATAGTTGTTATCCTAGAGTTTGTTCCTCTCAATTCAGCAAGGTATTCATATATCTTTGCATATTGGTCATCTTGATCCCCATGGCTAAACTTTAAAGCTTCTTTTTTTGCTATACTATATTTTGATATTGGTACATCAATGATATAATCATTTTTTACGTCTTAATTTAGGGAACTAGTAGAATAGTTAGGGTCAACCCTAAGTTTCTCGAGATATTCTTTAGCCAATCGCTTATAGGTACAATATTTATTCTTAAAATCTCTAATACAATTATGCTCTCCAGCATATGTCTTAATATGCCAAGTTGAGTCAGTCTCATATTTGGGATTCAATCTTGGTGCCCAAATCATCTATGGATACTCAGTCTTATACACAACATGGATTCTTCTAGGATCATTTACCTTTTACTTGACATTGTACTATTTTTTACTGCAAATTGTCTCACAATTGCTTGAATAACATTTTGATTAGGAAATAACATTCCTTTGCTAAACTTGGGACTTTCTAAGTCAACCTCACTATTGAACTCAGACCATCTTCTTCTATCACCCTCAGTTTCAAAGTCACATGCACTGTGCAATGACTCTGAACTCTCATTTTCACTTTCCAGGTCCTCGCCATCTTTCACTACAGTAAATTTAGGTATATCCAGCCTACAGAAGCATCACAAATGTTATCCTCACCTTCAATCAATTCATTCTTACTATTCTCAAACAAACTATCAGAATTTTACTTTTAGAAACTATAAATTTTAAATCTTCATCCTCACTCTCAGTCAAAAAAATTCTATCAGTTCCAACAATCCTAACAGTTTCAATAACCCTAACAATTTCAGCCACCCTAACAGTTTCAACCAAGTCAGTTTCAGTATCCACATTTGGCTCAATTTCAATAGAAACAGTATTCTTTCATGTATGTGTTCCGAAGGTTCTTTTATATAAACATGTACATACTTGTTACTAGGCATATTACTTAACATAAATAACACATCACTATCCAGTTTTCAGTGCATTCACAGTTAATATACCCTTGGTTGTTGCCAATGCATATCATGTTCCCCAACATATTCTAACTTTTTAACTATGTCATGTAAATCTAGCATTGACATACAGTCAATTTGACACATCAAAAAGTCAATTTTTACCATATACTCTACTTTGGGGTGATTTACAATATATCCACCATGGTGAGGATGCACCTGTGAAATGAACAAAAATTATGTAAATCAATAATACATGCATATGTTTTCACAATACAACTGTAAAAAATCATAATTTATATGTTATTTCCTAAATATAAATCTATTGAGCCCCAACAGACAATATCAAACATAAATTATGTAGTCCTTACACACAATTTTTTCAATTAAATAATTAAATAAAGCATACATATGTGGTCCCAACAAAAAGGCATTAAAATAATTGTCACAATAATGTGGTCCTCCTTAACTTTATGTCTATTGTCTTATTTACTTTATCCATTATAGTTTTTATGCTTCTCATACAATGAAACACATCAGTGTACATAAATTTCTTCAATATTAACCAAAATAGTAGCAATAACAACAACACAACTTGTCATACCCATAAATGAAATAACATAAAAGTAAACTCGAGACCCATATAATCGACCATACATTTCATATTAACACAAAATTTAAGAAAAATCCTAAATGGAATAAGAACAAACCCTAACTTTTAGAACAATTTGAAATCCCTAAATATCAATCACAATCGAAACATACAATTAGGATTTAGAACACTCACCATATGACATGCTTGTCATACCCCTCGAATGCAAAACATAACTCTCCATGATTCTGATATCGAACTACACACCTTCGATTGATCTCAGAAACTCTCAATTGATTTCAAAATAAAAAACGGCCAAAAGCATATAATCGTCAACTTGTATAAACCCTAAATCCCTTAATTTGTAGAAACCTAAATCATATTTGGAAGAAATTTTGTGATTTGGGTAATTTTATTTACCATATTTTTTATTATTTTAATTATAATTTTTTTCTGACGTGTCTTTTTACTCTTGTTTTTAACGATTTAAAAACCTATATGTAAGCCAAGTCATAACGGCGTTATAAGTTTAACAGTGGAGTGATCAAAATAATTCAATTTGCAAAGTTCAGTAAGCAAAATAAAAAAAATGAAAGTTGGGTGAACAAAACAGGAGAGAGAGTAACGTTGAGGAACCGTGTAATTTACCCTTTCTATTATTTTTTTTGAACAATGACAACTGGATTTCATTAATATTGGAAGGAATCAAAATTACAACGTATCAAAATATAGAGAAAATTTTGGAGATAATAATCACCAAAATACTCATACAAAAGTAAAATATTAAATCTAAATATACGAAGAAAAATAAAACCTTCCATTGAGAATGGCAACCAAATCGAAACCTAATAACCTTTATAAAAACTCCTTGTATCTGTCGAATTAGACACTTCACGAAGTGATAAAGGAGTAATGAGCGAACCAAACAATCTGGCAGGTTGCTTCGCTACACAATTATGATTATATCGACAAACAACCTTTTACCAAAAGGGGGATCTAACTATACATGACCACCGAAAAACCAATCAAAAAATAATTGTTGTGATGGTTTTTGTGTGAGAACCAAAACAACCATAAAGGTATGCAAAAGCGTACAAAACACCATAAGGATTATGCCACAAGAGCAGTGAAAAATGTGTCACAAGAATAAAGATTTTTATTCAAAATTAAAAATACTCAAAAAAATAAAATAAAGGGCATAATATAAAAAATAAGAGAACTGATAATCCCCGCGGTTGGCAATCAATATTAAGATTTGTGTTAGGTATGGCAGAATATCTTTTCTTTGTAAGGAAAGTCTCGTAGTGGGGGTTACGATTATGTGGGTAGAGGGTGCGGGGGCACAGTCCCCGCGGTACGGTACATGGTTATTTTTGTAAATATGTACTGGCGTTTATTTATTATAAAAGGAGATTTAACCTAAACCTATGAGACATTGAATTGAATAAAACTTCTAGCGCCGCCTAAGGCACCGAGGACGTAAGCACATTGTTGAACCTCGTTAAAATTCTTGTGTTCTTTCGTTTTCTTTACCTGATTATTCAACAATTGGTATCAGATGTCAGGAGCCAAATTCGAAGTTGGGAAATTCGATGGTCAGGGTAACTTCGGATTATGGCAAACAAGGGTTAATGATCTGTTGGCGCAGCAAGGGATCCTAAAGGCTTTGCGACCTACAAAGCCGGCGTCGATGGAGGAGGAAGATTGGGAAGAATTGCAGCAGGGAGCGGCAGGAACCATACGATTATGTTTGGCGGACGAGGTCATGTATCACGTCATGCATCTGTCGTCTCCAGATGAAATTTAGAAGAAGTTGGAAAGTCAGTTTATGTCCAAATCCTTAACGACTAAATTATATCTAAAGCATCGACTGTATGGGCTGAAGATGCAGGATGATCATGATTTGGTGCAACACGTGAATGTCTTCAATCAAATCGTTTCTGATTTAGCTCGGCTTGATGTGAAAATTGAGGATGAAGACAAAGTGATGTTTCTGTTGTGTTCGTTGCCTCCCTCTTACGAACACATGGTGACTACTCTTACATATGGGAAAGAGACTATCAAAGTTGAAGAGATTACTGCAGCCTTGTTGGCTCACAACCAGCAAAAGCAGAATGCAGGGGAAAGCTCTCAAGTTGATAGCTTATATGTTAAGGGTAATCGAGATCGTGGACGGAAGCCAGAGAAGGCAGGGTCTGGGAAGCAGAATTTCAACTCCAAATCTAGGAATAAGAAGACAATTCACTGTTACAAGTGCTAGGAGGCGGGACATATGAAGAGAGACTTTCCGAAGTTGAAAAAACAAACTGATGAGAAGCGTGATAACTCATCCAAGTCTGTGAATGTGGTCGAGGATGATAATTATGATTGCAGTGAGGGTGATATGCTCTCTATTTCAACGACTCAATTGACAGATGCTTGGATTATTGATTCTGGATGTTCTTATCACATCACGCCAAATAGGGAATGGTTTTCGACATACAGATCGGTTAATTCTGGTTCTGTTTATTTGGGTGATGATCGATGTTGCAATATTGTTGGTATTGGTGATGTTAGAATTAAGATGTATGATGGTTCTGTTTGGACGTTGTGTGGTGTTCGATATATCCCAGATTTGAAGAAGAATTTGATTTCTTTGGGCATTTTGCACAAGAATGGTTTTATCCCTAAGGCTAATGAGGATAGGGAAACCATTCGGATTGTTAAAGGAGTTTTGATTGTGATGAAAGGAAAGATGACTGCAGGGAATATTTACAGATTGTTAGGGAGTACCGTTGTAGGTGGAGTTCATTCTGTTGAGTCCTATGATGATACTACCAAACTGTGGCATATGCGTCTTGCTCATCTTACTGAATGTGGTATGGCTGAATTACAGAAAAGAAATATGTTGCATGGTGTTAAAAGTTGTAAGCTCTATTTTTGCAAGTATTGTGTTCTTGGTAAACAGACTAAAGTCCGTTTCAAGACTGGGAAGCACACAAGTTGGTCTCTATATGTCGAGATGAATCTCCCAACAAGATCAAAAGAAATGACATCAAACCTAACAAATATAATTTAAAGAAAGGTGGTAAGGCCTAAAGTGAATAT